ATTTAATCATAGTTGTTGACGAAAATAAGGTACCTATTTATACATTGCATCCCACCAAGAATTTCTAATGTAAGCTAAAATGTGTTAATAACTGTTTACAATCGAACAAAATAATGAAAATATTTGTAAATACTTGCTTTAAAACATTTAACCGTAATAAAATTGAACAAGAAAGAATTGAAATTGAATTAATTATTGAACTAATTTTTCACTTTCGTTCATTAAAGCAAAAATAAATATTTTCCATTATTTTTGCAATATCTTAACAGCCGGATCAGCGAGCGATTCAGATCTATCTAGACACGCTAAATTTCGGCGAGAACTGTCAAATTCAATAGGAATAACAGAAACACGCTACTTGGTATAGAAGGGCAAAATAAATTATTTAAATTAAATTGAAATCACTTTATTAAAATCAAAATTACCCAATAGCTTTATTAACACATGACACATAATTGTAATTATTATATTCAACATTATTTTATGGAAATCTGAGAAAATTGAAAAATTAAGTACTTTCAGAAGATACTTTGCAATTATTTCCTATTGAGTGAATTTTATGGAGCTCCACCTAGAATTCGCTCAATTGTAAGTAACTAAGTGAAACCACAAAACGATCCTCAAGCAGATCAAAATGGCTCTATTAAGCCTCTTAATATGAACATACCTCGGGATTCAGAGATTTTAAAAGGTTTATGCGCAGATCCTGGAAGATAAAATATTATATTATTACTGTCTCGTGTGAGACAACCTTTATTCTTATAACCATATTCCCATCACACGTAATATATTTGTATGATTAGTTAGAAAAGAAATATCTACATGCAAACTTTCACACAGTCTAAGATGGTGCTTCACTGACTTAACAAAAGCCTTCTAACTCTTGTCTAATAGTAGTAGGTAAATTTAATTTGCGACCTATTTGCGTGTATGTGGGAGTGAGAAAAGTGTATGAGAATACGTGAAGAGGAATAAAGATTGAGTATTCGTAGTATGTATATTTGGCTTAATTATCATTATCATTACAGCCCTTCACAAGGCCTATATTTATATACAGGGTCATTTTTAATTTACTGAATACCTTCTGGGAATATATTGGTTACATCATTACAAACAATTTTAGCGAGATCACTATTCACAGAATATAATACTTTTACGAAAAAACTACTTTTAAGGTTTTTTTGTCGTGTCTGATTCCTTTTAAGTCTGTATTTTGTAGTACCAAAACAATGTCAGAATAAATCGTCAAATAAAATTCCTAAATAAGGCATTTTTACACCTGATACAGTATCAAACATTGTGTGGAAATCATTAAACATAATTAAATGAGCAAATGACATTCAAAAAAAACCACAAATATTAAAATTTATAATAAGTAAGAATGACCGCCGGGCCGTCCGACGCCCGCGCTCAGCTGATTGCGTTGCGAGTAGGGTTACCAGATGAAAAAATTAAAAGTCCGGAGAAGAGGCCTGATTTCCATTTAAAAATCCTGAGATTGTTTTACAGTTTGAGAAGAAAACCTTATTTACAGTCGCAATTTTACTACCGGTTAGTGCAGTCGCTTCATAATGACGTGACGGCTCTAATGCCGAACTTACAGTATTTTTGTAGCGTAAGCATACCTACTGCGCAAAAATAATTTGAAATGGCGTGTCAACCTAAACGTTCCGAAACCGTCGTAATCCACGAGTTGCTAGTCTTTGTTCAACAAAAATTGGACGTCATGGACCAGGTGTCTCTGGAGCAGATACTGATGACAAGCTTCACCGAGGACGAGATCATCCAAGCGCAGAAGGTGTTAGCAGATTCAGTCGTGACCCAAATCCGTCTTATCACACGTCACAGGGATGGACGCGGTAAGAAAGACCTGCAAGACATCTTCAGGCTGTTCAATGAGACCGAACCTGATGACATCCCAACTTTCGGCGCGCGTGATCTCAACAAGCTGCCTCCCGTGACGTTCGATCACGTAGACGTCACCAGATTGTTGAAAGACATCACCACGTTGAGAGCCGATGTTACCGACATCCGTTCCAAATTTGAGGAATCAGAACGAGCCGCAACAGAGCTGAGGAACGAAGTCAATATGTTGCGCAACATAATTGCAACATCTGCAAATTCACCGCCGTCGCAGAATGTGAATACGACACGCGGTAACCGTAATAGTAGTCATATTTCACCGATGATTGCGACCCCGTCACGCGATACCGTCTGTCAGCGGGTTGATGACCGAGAAACTAGGGCGACCTCGGTCGTCATTGCATCACCACCTCAAACCTCAACGATTGGTACTCCTCCGCCGAAGCCAACCTCAAAACAAGGGAAGACGTTTGCGGATGTTGCCCGAAAATCTTTACAACCGGCACCCTCTTGTGGTCGAAAGCGGAAGAATGTGGAAATAACATCAGTTCCAGTGGTGACCCAAGACAAGATTGATAAGGACGGGTTTACTCTTGTTGAGAAGAGACGTCGGTCGCGACCCGTCTGTAACCAGCGTGGGATCGCGAAAATAAACGCGAGTACAACTCTGCGTGCTGTGGAGCCAACCATACAACTCTACATCTCCCGTTTGGACAAAAGTACGTCGCGAGAAGACGTCCTGCGCTTCGTGGAAGAACGAAGCCGATGCCGCATTGAAGATCCGATCTCTTTACATTTGCAGCGTCTGGAGTCTAATAGGTCAACGAACTTCAAATCCTACGTACTCCAGGTTCCTGCAAAACATAAAGAGACATTCCTCGCTCTCGATTTCTGGCCCTCTGGGGTAGTGTTTCGCCGATACAGGGACGCGCCAAAGAAAAAAGTACCCTAAATAGTGTTAAGTTATGTCTATATTTTATATATATTTTTAGGTTAAGGTATATATTGCTATGGGCCAATGTTCTTAATTTTTAAGTCCTTGATGCCTGAAATAAAGTTATTATTGTTGTTGTTGTTGTTGTTAAAAAGGTATCTTCACATATTAAGTATGATAAAACTGTTTAAGTACCTACTTGGATAAATAAGTTTTGATTTTAATTGTAGAATTATTATCAAAGGAAAATTATTTTTAGTTTGTTTAACTTTTTATTAAGGGATCTTTTAAAATGTAAGCTGTATCATATTGAAAGTTCTAAAACTCCTGAGATTTCATGAGATTTGCAAAATTCAGCCGCAATCCTGAGAAGAGTCTAAAAATCCTGAAATCTCAGGACAAATCCTGAGATATGGTAACCCTAGTTGCGAGAGCCTACTAAACCATTCATCAAGCTGTGCCTATTGCACCAGGGCGCAACTTTAAATGAGTTTACATTAACTTTTCATATACTTCTTTATTTTGCATAAAACCATTTGATGAACTATTTGATTCTTTTATTAATTTCTTTAAGAATTCATAGACATTCTTTAATAGACATTTAGGTAGCTTTTTTTACGAATACTGTTTGCTAGCAACTCTGCCTGCATCCAAGAGGCAACGCCTCAACGTCGCACATGCGGCGGCCCAAGGCCAAGCCAACGATATATTATAACGTCGACACAGGTGTCACCGTCATCAAAGGCGCCGCCTGCCCTTTACGGTTTGCAGGCATCGATTTGGTGATCGATGTTTGCAGCACGTGGAAATTAAATGAGTATTATTAACTATTTTTTTATTTAATGTAAGTTGTATTTAAAAAATGGATGCAGGTTAAAATAATTACAAATATTACAATAAAATATTTATAATGATTAAATACAAATTAACAGTAATTGAATAAAGATATTAAGGTATAATGGTTCAATAAAAATATTAAAATACAAATTTAAAAATTAGACTTACCTAGGTACTTGCCCGCGGATGGCGGTGAGTATCGCGCACATAGCGTTCAAAATAATCACCTCCACATTCTATGCATAGGTGACACCTAAAACTTAACTGTTCACCGACACGAGATAATACTTGATGATTCATTTTGATTTGGTCGAATGCCCAAATTATTTTTTTTTCAACATGTCGCGGGTTTCGAATGCTCGACTAGTATACACTAATGTCTTTACATGCCCCCACAAATAAAAATCCATTGGTGTGATATCTGGCGATCTGGGAGGCCATGCACAAGGCCCGTCTCAACCGACCCAGCGACCAGGGTATTCTCTGTTTAAATAATCCTTAACTTCGCGAGCATAGTGTGCCGGCGCCCCGTCAAGTTGGTAATACATATTGCGTAGAGATGCAAGTGGTATGTCCTCTAACAACTCTGGCAGCGTGTCGGTGAGAAAACTATGATAGCTTTCACCGTTTAATCTTTCTATGAAGACTGGGCCCAGTAACGTTGTATTAATGACGCCTGCCCACACATTGACACTAAACCGGTGTTGAAAGCTATGCGGTCTTGGTTCATATGGATTTTCATAGCACCACAAGTGTTCATTGTGCGAATTAAATAGTCCTATCCTCGTAAGGCCCAACCTAAATTTAGGTCGATATACATTACGGCCCAACGTACTAAAAATAGGTGCAAGTAGTTGCGGCCCAGAACTTTGGTTAAGTACAAAAGTGTGTAAATGTATTACTTTTGGTCAAATTATTTTTAGGGGTATTTCCTATACCTAAAGTTACCTATTTCACGCAAAAAATATGTTGAAATAGCTTGTCCTTATTTTAGGTCACTGGGCCACTGTTTAATATATAACATTAGTTTGAATCAATCAAATCTATTCAGTTATTTATCATGGAATAGCAAATTATACCATAAATAAAAATAAACTTTGTAAAAAAAATATTTATTATTTTCTTCCTTCATTTTAAACCTTATTAATTAATAATTTTATGTAACAAAATTTTCTAAATCAGTCTCATTTTTAGCAAACAATGTATCTTCGCATTACACATGTTAATCATATTACTAAAATAATGTTCTTACTTACTATAATCAATGGCAATATTTCAAATAATAATATTCAAGTTGTCGTATCACACACAATACTAATTAGAAATATAGATACTTAAAAAAGAAAATTTTAAACAAATGTATCAATCAATAAATCTCAGTGTGGAAGTTATAAAAACAATTACGTTCTTTAGTTAGGCACAAGTGAATGTTGCACTTCTTGCATATAATTGTGCTTTTCTTGTTGCATCCTGGTCTTCTGCACCTGTTTTGAACTTCTCCAGCCGATGGCAAATGGAGTGCACCATGAGTTCTTGAACTGGCGCTGGGAAGCGGTACAGCTGGTCTAGAGCGTTTAGGTCGAGACTGTTCTTCGTCTTCTGTTTCGGAACTAGTGGTGAAATTAGCAGTTACTAAAGTTTCGGCTATTTCCATTTTAAAACTCCTCAGTTGCTGATTTTTTTTCACCGGGACATTTTTGCGTAACTCTTTTGCTTTATAATTTAACCATGAATTAGTTGTAGCCAAATCAAACATGTGTGCGATAAATCGCGTTGTCCATTTTCTTGTTCGATATCTAGACGGCGCTACAGCTAAGAGACGATCAGCAAGATCGACTCCTCCCATATTAGAATTATATTGTTTTACTACTTCCGGTCTTGGTACAGTAACATACACTTTATTCTGTTTACACCATCTTTGACAGGTGTCGGAAGTTTGGGCAGCATGCACAGTAGACAGGAAAGTGACAGGTTTGTTATCAAACCATTTAGTTATAGCTATATTCTTCTCATCGTTGACCAATACCTGACAACTCCCTCTCCCTGCTTTCTTTAAGTCTTTGTCCTCTTTGAGTATTAATCTTGCGGACTTAGGTACTCTATTCTTCATCAATGTACCAGCGCACATCAGGCCTCTGTTTTTTAATTCCACAATCAGTGTCTCGGTGGTAAAGTACCTATCACAGTAAATTATATGTCCCGGCAACAAATCCTCCGTTAAGGCAAGAACTGCCTTCTCTCCCAACCCGAATGATGTATCAGCATAAGAAGGATATGTAGTCGCCCCTTGATATATATCAAAATCACACACTTCTCCGGTGGGATTCGCCAAGACAAAAGTTTTTAAACCTGTAGGATTAGGTTTACCTGGGCAATATTGCTTCATCCCACAGGCGCCCGTAAAAGGAATTATCATTTCGTCAATTGACAGTTTTTGATCCTTTGGTATGGAATGACAACCCTTGAGAATTTCTTTGATAAGAGGGCGAACTTTCCAAAGCTTGTCTTTACTTTTATCTTCGGCAGAAAAGTCGTTGTCATTAACGAGTTTTAAAGAATTCCGAAGAATGAAAAATCTGTTCCGAGACATATTATCAGCTACAAAAGCGACACGAAATTTGTGTTGCCAGTACATTCGGAGAATTGGATATCCAATACAAGACATGGCTAAATTAATTGCAATAAAAATGTAGCACTCGGGAAGTGTCAAATTTAAAAACTGGCCGTTTCTTGATAGATACATCTCATTGGATCTATCTACGATAATTTGCATCAGCTCATCATTTACGTATCGACGAAAATAATCAATTTTACAGAACTTTTCGTCAATAAGAGGTAAATACGATGGCTGCATAAAAGGAATTATATCAGGATTAAAATCTTTTTCTTTCCAACCTCCAAATTGTCCATCGTCATTGCCAATATCCTCGTTATCTTCAGCTTCCACTTGCTGGTACAATCTCCCACGAGATGAACTTGCTCTTCTACTACTTGCTCTAGAAATCGAAAAAATTCTTCGACCACAACGGCCACCTCGACGCTGTAAGCTCCTCCCACGCGTAACAGAAGAATTAGAAATCGCAGGACTTGAAACTGTAAGCTCACCTTCAGAATCAGAAGACGATTCTGCTGAATTGTCCGATTGACGATTTCGGCCCTGAGGTCGATAATCCACATCATCGATATCATCATCGCCGTCATCATCTTCGAACTCGGATACGTCCAGAATAAGCTGATTTTCTATAGCTTCGTCGTCCATGGCTTAAATAAAAGAAAATAAAGTAAACACCCAATGTCCTAAAATCATGACATAGAAATTAGGCTAACTTTTACAATAAAAACCCACCGACCTTATTTTGGGACATAGTTTTTATCGTTCGAATATTACGGAATTAAAATGACTTTGATACGAAAAAAACATGTCGGAACAAAATATAATATATCCGCAACTGTTTGCAATACATTTTAGACATCACCATGTTATGATTATAAAAATATGAATAGATTTACTTACCAATCTCCACGAGACTTCCGTTCACATGAGATGAAATGTCAAAAAGACAGATTCTTGGTTCTTAAATGTCAAGTTGACATTGCCAAAATTAGAGATGCGTTCATAGTTAATAGTTTCTTGATGGCAGATTTAAAATGGCGGGATTATTTAAACCAAAAATTAAGTTCAAATATCATGTCATAATTTTAGGTCGCCGGGCCGCAATTTGACGATTTTAAAAGCTGTGTTGGGCCGGAATGCCAAAATATTTTTGTCATTAAATTAGGTTATTGGGCCTTACGAGGCTATTCTGCCAAATGTTGCTTCATCAGTCCATAAAATGTTGGCTCGTTCAGCAGCTAGTAACCAGTTACAAAATGTAACTCGCGCTGGTTTGTCAGCTTCGCTGAGTTCATGAACACGATGCAAGTGGAAAGGGTACTTCCCTTCATTGTGTATAACACTCCATGCGTAGTACTGTGACACATTGAACTGTCGGGCTGCCTCATAAGTGCTCGCTGCTGGATTTTGTTCAAAAAACTGCAGTATGTCTTCCTGCTCACGTACTGTGCGCCGCGGTGGACGATCACGATCGATTGATACAGGCTGGAATTGCCCGTAATCTCGCAATCGCTGTGTAGTACCTAGCATCGTAGCGTAGCTCGGTGCACGTGAGTTGGGAAATCGCCTTGAATATTCACGGCAGGCTTCACTAACGTTATCATTGCAAATTGCTAAAATTCGCACCATTTCGGTATACTCAATATTTGAGTATGGGTATGGCATTGTAACAACGCGTAACGTTCGCGATATTAATCTCACAACGGAAGGAGAAAAGTCGCGGGCGCACAAAAGGCGACTGACCGACTGATGACACAGATAATTAGGTCAAGTTCAAATGAGCAAGCGCCGCCTCCTACACCCCTCCACCCCTACCCCGCCACGCGCTTTATTTTGCTATTTAGGACTATTGCCGTTTAGAAGGTCCAATTAAAATATTCTTATTTTTATATGAAAATAAAAATTGAAGAAATATAATTTCTTTTCTTACAGATGTTGTTGTTATGATGTAAATAATATATTCCCAAAAGGTCTTCAGTAAATTAAAAATTACCCTGTATATACCTAGTCAGATCGTAAATTCTGTCACATGTTTAATATAAAATAATTGAAACTAGTTTATTCATTATGTAACCATTTATATACCAAAATGAACTTAACAAAACATAGATTCTTATGACACTAAAGTTTATTCAAAATGACCTCCGTGATTTTGAATACAGGCATTCAATCTGCGCGGCCAGTCGTCTATCGCAGCACGAACGAGGTCCATGTCAATATCGGCGCCTGCCTTAATCAAGGATGTCTTGAGTGACTCCAAATTGGGATGAGGCTTTGAGCACGCCTTTTCCTCCAAGTGTTGCCAATCTTGTAATCTAACGGATTCAAATCTGGACTGGAGGAGGGCCAGTCTTCGTGCCGGATGAAGTTGATTTCACGCACCGCCAGCCAGTCTTGTGTGCTCTTCGCTCTATGATCTGGCGCCGAATCTTGTTGGAATACCCAGTGCCTGTTATTGAATATGGTTTGAGAAACAGGTTCCACAAGGTTCATCAGGACTGTATTTTGATTCACAACTGCATTCGTTTTCACACCTTTCTCATAAAAATGTACCTCTGTTAAGCCCCTATAAGAAACTCCAAACCATACCATGAGCAAGGATGGAAAATGACCTCATTGGACACGCGGAATACGGTTGCTCGCTTCTTCACTACTTTGTGCGTACAACTTATCACTTTGTTTGTTGTAGCTCTCTTCTACGGTAAAAATTTTTTCATCCGAAAAAAGAATTTCCCGATATTTTTTTCCCGCGTACCGCTTCAACAAAGCGCGGCATCTCTTCAATCTCGGATCCATTAGACGAGCATTCAAACGATGTCCTGATATATATATGTCGGAGCGTCTATAAAATACCCGGTTGGATCGAGGTAGAAGGGAGGGTATATCGATAAACCCCCTCTTGTGTCTGTAGTATAAAGTTCACTGTAGGTGCCGTGCGCGGGAGATTCCGCTTAAGTCATTCAACGAGTGTGGTCATTCGACTAGTGCTAAGATAGTGTCGTGGTTCTGTTCGTTGTTGTAATTCTTCTAGTGCAGGCAAGGAGAATTGGTGTTGCTGAGAGGCTGCCCAGTGTTACATTGAGAAAAGTAGCGTTGCTGTTGTTGTACATATTTTGGTGTTATCATGTAATTACGTACCTCACGTTACACTGGTGTGTGATACTGGCGGAGACGTATTACGGTGTGGTCGAACTGTAATTTCACTATACTGAATGTATAGTGCGTTACGTTGTCTTATTACTGACAATGATTAAACTGCGTAAGCAAGAGAGCAAGTTGAACATCCGCTCTCACACTTTTATTATTTTTAACAATTAACGCTATCCTGATGTATTCCCGAGATCAAGTTCGGGATCTTCTGTTGTCATTTCCGATATATATATAGACAGATATAGGCCTTCCCAAGGAATGCCACAAAGCATAGTCCTAAGCCAACTGCATCTATCGACTTCCTGCATACCTTATTATATCGTCCCTCCATATACTCGAAGGCTGCCTTCACTTCGCTCACCGGTACAAGGTTGCCATTAGAGAACCTTTCTTCCTATTGTTTAAAGGTTTTCCAAGCTATATGACCAGCCCATTGCCATTTCACTTTAATAATCCGTTGGGCTTGGCAGTCAGTTGCTCTGGTTCTACTGTGGATATCCTCATTTCTAACTTTTTCACGCAGAGAAAACGCTCTCCAATTTAATTTTATTATATTTTTCAAGTGATGGTTTGTCTAACATTTAAAGAAAACATAAACCCTAGAATGTCTTTATATAGCAGTTAGGGAAGCACCATTTTTATTTTATTTCTATTGTTTAATTTTATAATAGTGTACCTAAATATAAGTATCTGTATTTAGATTTCCCTCCCCAATAATGTTCTATTAAAGTGATACTCATAAAAACAGCGTTTTATTGTAATACATAATTATAAAATTTAGTATATCACCTAATTAATAACAATATGCAACAATAAAATTACATAGATATTAAAAACTATCGAAATGTAAGTAACTAGAGCATGTTAGTCATTCCTCATCTAAATTATATAAAAATGCAATTTTCACTTTCACTAATCAACGTCGCCGCGATTTAATGGGCAAAAAAAAATTTTAAAAATGAATGGTTTATTTTAAGATTAAACACAGATAAGAATGATCTCTTGTATTTTAGCTAACTTCAAAAAAGGAGGAGGTTTACATCCGATTTTATTTGATACAGAATTTTGTATGTATGTTACGCGATATCTTCGTCAATCGTGAACCGATTTTGATGATTCTTTAGAGTTTATATAAATATGGAGAAAAGATCCACCGCCAAGGGTGGGTAAAATAGAGGATAAAGTTTTTAATATAACTATTTAGGCAACATTTTAGTTATTACTTGAGCTTGTGATATTCCTTAGTCCACTCAAAAGGGTCAAAGTAATTAGTTTTTTATTTAAAATGTTAATAAGCCCAACTAAAAGTAATCAAATAATTACCACATAATAACTTCTGAAGTCCGGGCTTTAATTTTTTTAAACACCAAGTCTTAGCACCGGCTTTTGAAGCTGTTACGTGGAAATTATTTTATTATTTTTAATTAGGCTTATACTTTTAAACAGTAGTTTAATTTTTGCAAATATTTTTATAGTATAGGCGTGACAAACGAGTACACAGTCCATCTAATAGTTATTAGTTTATGTGGTATATAGACATCGTCATTTATCCTCGATTAAGAAACAAAACTTACTTATACAAATAGTTTTACACTAAATGCGTTTGTATTACATTGTAACATAATCCTATACGGCAAATTTTACAGGGAAAATAATGTTTACAATTCACTGACTTTTCATTCATTTCAGATGATCCAGTGTACCTATTCATACGATATGTGCATTATTTATTCAGTCGAATAGCGTCGGAAATATCGAGAAGCTGCGACCATCGTATATTGAGAATAGCAAAATATGGAGTACAGGTCCGGGATAAACGAAAGCGATGTTTTCTTATTGGATACGCTCTTTTGTGCACCAACTGGTCAGTGCAGTCTTTGGAGAGTTGTAATAGAGTTGTTGTACATAGTGCTTTGCCAGCGATTTAAAATTCGAAATTTATTTTTGAAATCTATATTTATTTTACGAATTTCTTTAAAATCGGCGGCTACTTCAAGTTGGAACAGTTTTATTATAGCGCTTTGCTTTGCTTTGCTAGATACTCAATATTTTTAAGAGTTAGGGTCTTTATCCCTTTTGTTGTCAATATTCAAGGCAAGAGTGAATAGGCTTTTGTTACGCTAAGATAAGGCTTCATCACCAATTACGACCAGGTGAGATTGTGGTCAAGCACTGGCATATATTAAGTGATGAAAAGGATTTTTTTATGGAATAGAGTGACAAACGAGCACACAGTCCACCTGATGGTAAATGGACGCTGTGGCCCATAGATATATGAATGTATCCTCAATTAAGAATCAAAATGCTGATGCGTTGTCTCCTCTGAGGAATAAGATTTAATGCCTCGTTTCCAGTAAAAAAGGTCTGCGGTTCTTTATCTGTATCCCGTGAGAGCGTGGTCCTGCCCCAGTCAAGCCGACCCATTCGTGCTACAACTATAATATAGCTGCAGCGAGCTCTACCACGTAATTTTTTTTTTGTTTTGTGTAATTACC